TGACCTCTTAACTAAAACTACTCTTTCCAAAGTTATCAGTGATCTCTTATTGCCATATCTGATGGCCTTTTCTCAGTTCTCATTCTTCTTGACCTTTCTGCAGCATTTGACAACATTGACCACCTTCTCCTACTCATTCCCTTCTTGTTTTTCATAACACTGCTCTTATGGTTCTCCTCAGCCTTTTTTTTTTCCGACTATGTCATCAACCATATCCTGACCCCAAATTAAGAGTGTATACTAAGGCTCTGTCCTAGACTTCCCTTTCTCCTCTTTATTTTCTCACTTGGTTGACCTCATTCAGTTATTATCTTTATACGGATGACTCCCAGATCTGTGTATCCAGCCATAGTCTCTTCTGCACTTCAGTCCCACATCACCAGTTGCTTACTAGACATTTCAAGATGGTTATCCCATAGGCATCTTAAAACTCAACATATCCAAAATGGAACTCACCATCTTTCACCCCAAACCCATCCCCCTTCTTAACTTACCTAATTCTGTCAAGGGTCCCACCATCCTTCTGGTCACCCAAGTTTACACCCTCAGAATTATCCTTAGCTCTTCACTCTCCCTCACCCCCAACATCCAAACAATTGCCAAATCTTATTGATTCTATCTCTACATCTCTCACATCTATCCCCTTCTCTCTACTCACACTGCTAACACCCTAGTAGCTTCCTCATTTTTCTCCCTGTATGAAATATTTTCCATCTACAGTCCATCCTTCACACAGCTGTGAAAGTGATTTTCCTAATGCACAGATCAAACTGTGTCTTACTCAATAAACTCCATTCTTTGATAAAGTTCTGCACAATCTGACCCATTCCTACCTTTGCAGCTTTGTGTTACACATAATTTCCACACACACACTCTCTATGGTCTAGCCCTTCTTCCTGTTCCTCCCATGTAGTACTCCATTTCCCGTCTTTTTGCCTTACCATCAGCTGTCCCCCATGCCCAGCATGCACACCCACCTCACTACTACCTCTTGGAATCCTTGATTTCCCTTCCAGACTCAACTGAAGTCCTACCTTTCTTTCCTGATCTCCCCAGCTGCTAGACTTGTATTTATTTTGCATATATCTGTATGTGTACATTCTCCCCTTTTAGAAGGTAAGCTCCCTAAGAGCTGGGGTTGTTTCACTTTTGTCCTTGTATCCCCAGTGCCTAGCACATAGTCATTCACAGGCTGCTCTGAGGTACAGTTGACAGAGCACTAGATCTGGGTCAGTACGGGACTTCCTGGAGTCGGGAAGATCTAAGTTCAAATCTGGCCTCCAGCACTTACTAGCTGTATGACCCTTAGCAAGTCACCTAATCTCTTCTGCCTCAATTTTCTCATGTGTAAAATAGGGATAGTATTAGCACCTACCTCCCAGGATTGTTGTGAGGATGAATAATATTTGTAAAGTGCTTTGTAAACCTTTAAAGCACTATATAAATTCTACTTGTTATTGTACTAGAATGCACTTAATAAGTGTTTACTGGTTTAAATTGGAATGGATAATTCACCCATAGGTAATGGAGAGTTGACTGTAAAACCTTTTGGAGTCTGTCTCCCACATACATGGTGAGTGTATTTTCAGTGTCCTAGGCACAGAAGTAGTAATCTGTTGTCCTGATAGGCTCTTCTTTTCTATAGAGAGATGTGTGGCCTCTTGCCTCCTAACTCTACATGCTAAACCATGCCGCTCAGCCCTGGGCAGCCTGACCAGCAGAGTGCCTCTTTACTCAGTGCAATATTGGGAATGGGTGATGGCTCAGATTGGGCTCTAGAACCCCACGAGGCATCCTGTGAAATGAGTCGTTTTGTGAGGTAGAGTTCTCACGCTATTAATACCTCATTTGAGATAAGGAAAGAGGGAAAAAGCCCTGCATGGAAATATTCCTTCTCTAAGTGGCACAATGTGATGCTTCTAAAAATACATGTTTGTGTTTGCTAGCCTCTTAGCTCAGCTCTGTGGGAGCCTCCTCTGCTCTTGGAGAAGCCGTTTGCACTGTGGACCCTAGAAGCATTCCCCAGTGACCCTGACTCTTCTTGGAATAAAGGGTAAAGGAGGGCAAAGAGAAGAGTTGTTCCCTAGCCACACTTCACTTTTCTTGGTTCACATCCTCTCAGCCTCTTTTTTTTTCTTTTGTCAGGAAGGCCTTGATTCAGTTCATTGAACATGTTATTAAGTGCCTGCTATGCACAGGGCATGGGGGTAGGTGCTCAGCTAATTTCTCACAGAGGTCCTGCCAAATCTCAGGGGATCCCAGCCCAGAAAGTGACTTCCCCACCTGTCCCACAAAGGCCCTGAAAGATCTGGGTAGGGAAATATATAGTCCCTACAGCTCAGCCCAGCCTTTCTCTGTGACACTTGGAAGTTCACAACACTTCTCACTTCCCTCATTCAGTTGTCCATCTCCTGTAGCCTTGCACAGAAACAGCTAACAGTTACTATACATCTACACAGCCAGCCAGATGGTAATCCTGTGAAGTTGGCTCAGTGAGCCTTGTTATTCTACTGCCAAGCCAAAAATGGACATTTTACAAAACCCTGGTGGCCAGCATACCCCCAAAGCTGTACTTGTAAGTACTTCATCTTCACCCCAAATCCAGTGAGAGATTACCTACTACAGACTCTCTCCATTTTGAGCTGTGTTCCTGGCAGTCCTCCTCCATGGGCTAGGATAAAGAAGAGGAAAGAGGATAGAGGGCCTGGATCTATTCCAGCCCAATCATCTCCATCTGAATCCTTTCCCACACCAGTCCTGCTGATGGAAGAGAATTCAACTCAGGGCACAACCCCATGAGCCATGTGGAAAAACTCCTGCTGTTTGAAATTGGATGCCCTATCCAAAGTAGGGAGACGGGTCAGAGCATAACAGTCCTACCTGAGGAACTTCAAAGATGCTCCTGTTTCTCCAGCATATTTAACTTATTTGTAGTTTTGAGATGAAAGTGTAGTCTCGATAAAAAGAGACCTAAGAATCATCACACAGATGCTACCCTTCATGATAATAAAAATAAAGGAGGGTGAGGGAAATATATGAGGTATGAGTGACTTAACAGGAGAAACAAGGGTAGGGCAAGACCTTCCATCCAGGTCACCATACCCTAGGAATACCAGTCATTGATACTGCTAGACCTTGGCTAGGAAGGGATCATGATGACTTTTATAATGCCAGGTAGTTTCACAGAAGTACAAATCCCACATCTTTTAGCTATGTTCTACAAATATCCTCCCAGCTCCTTAATGTGTAAGGAAATAAAGGAAAAGGGCATGTGTGCTAGGTATTGAAATTAGCTCAGTGACTTTGGAAGATGTTCACTTTTCAAAGCATGTATCAAACCAAACCAGTAGAAAATAGTGGTGTTGGAGACAAGTTAGGAAGGAGAAAAAAAGCTTTGTACTGGAGACTCTTTGGAGAAGGGAAGCTTAGACAGTGGGTAGTAGCTGATGTGTCATTTCCAAAAGAGTCAGTGAGGAGATGGCCTCGGACGACAAGGAAGAGCCAGAAACTCTGCTAAACCAGAAGAGACTACAAAAGCTCATATCAGATCCCCTTTGTCTCTAAGGAGTTTTGAAAGTTGACAGTGGGATGTTATGGGTCATTTGTGGCCATCCCTAGAGGGAGAGTGGTACAGTAGAAAGAAAGCTGGCTCTGGAATTAGATGAACTGGGTCCTTCCTACCTGCATGGCCTCGGGTCAGAATTAACCTCCCTGAGTTTCGGTTCCCTCCCCTGTAAAGTGAAAGGGGTTGAGCTGGACAACCAAATTTTATCCAGTTTCTCTAGACATGGACTTAGAATTCTAGTCCTAATTTTGCCAGTCTGAGTCAGCCTCAGTTTCCCTATATACCAAATAGGAAAAATACTAATCACCCTGTTAATCTCACAGTGTTCATAGATGATGGATTTAAAACTGGAAGGGAACTTAGAGTGAGGGAAGAAATAAACATTTATATAGCACCTACTATGTGCCAGGAGGCACTGTGCCAAATGTGCCAAATTTTTACAAATATTATCTCATTTGATCTTAGGAGGTCTTTAGAGGTCATTTAGTCCAACCCTCTCATTTTACAGATGAGGAAACTGAGGTTCAGGGAGGTTAAGTGAGTTGCCTGTGGTCATGCAAATAGTAAATGGTAGAACCAGGATTTGAACCCAGGTCCTCTGGCTCCAGATCTAGCATTCTTACACAACACTGAGCACGCTGGTTATTGTGAGGCTTCAAGAACTAATGTGAGAGCACTTTAAAAATATGCTACACAAGGGCAGCTTGGTGGCACAGGGGATAGAGCTCTGGCTTTGGAGTCAGGAGGACGTGAGTTCAAATCCAAACTCAGATACTTGACACTTACAAGCTGTGTGACCCTGGGCAAGTCACTTAAACCTGATTGCCTCACCAAAAAAAAGCAAAACAACCACAACAACAACAAAAATGCTACACAAGTTTATAGCAGTGATTGGCATTAATAATAAAAGAGGTGGCAGTTTGACAACCTAGGTCTAGCTCTCCAGGTTTCAATGGCAACTCTGTCAGTAGACTCCAGCCAGAGCATCTATTTAGTACCTGGATACAGTGTGGCTGTTTCATCTTTCTCCTTTACTGTCTCTCAAGCTCAGTGGGCCTAGAGTGTTTTGGAGGGTAGATCTGTTGTCAGTGTAGGGGATGCCTTTTCTGAAGGGAGGTGTTTCCTGTTTAGGGGTTATTCTCTCACCTTGACCCATGCTTCAGCCTTCCCAGCAAAGAGAGAGAATGGTAACAGTGGTGTCCCCATACAATCCCCTTCCTCTGCTTTGCAGGTGCAACGAGTTTCCGGGAGAAACAGTGTGTGTCTGGCTAGAGAGCTGCTCAAGCTCTTGGGGAGGAAAGCCATGAGTAAACATTGGTACCCTAGGGTCAGCCACTGGGAAATTCAACAAGAAGTTGCTATCAACTGTGGTCTCAGCTCTACTAGCATTTCCTCTTCTCCCAGATGCTGGCTTCCTGCCAGTCCAAATACTCACCCCTGGACTCAGGCAGTCTGTGCAACCGACTTCATCAGTTCTCTCCTGTGCTTTTTACTCCTGACTTTGGTGATGGTGGTGGTGCAGAAGATGAGAGATGCTCAGTGGAGTTGACTGGAACTGTGCTCATCTATTGCTGAGAAGTCAAACTGGAGTGCACAATAGGGAAGGAGAGAAATTTTCCCAGTGATTCCATATCTATATATGTAGACCAAATCTAACAAATTGAATTTTAATATAAATAAATATAAGTTCCTCTAATAAAAAAAAAAACACAGGATGAAGGAGCCCTGGATTAGTAGTAATTTATGCAAACAATGAAAACAATAATAATAGCTGATGTCTATATAGCATTGTAAGATTTACAAAACACTTTATGCACATTAACTCATTCAATCCTCACATCATCCCTGTGTGGTGGGGACTACAGGTATCTTATAGATGAGGAAATGAGGCTCAGAGAGGTTAAAGGACTTGCCCATAGTCAGTACAGTAATTACATGTCAAAAGTGAGATCCACACCTTGATATCTGCCAATTCTTTCAACATCCTGTGCAGAATTTTAATTGATTACAAGCTTAATCAGCAGTGTGACATGGCTGCTTAAAAAAAATTAATGAAATTGTAAGCTGCATTAAACTACTGTTGGAAAGTAATGCTTACATCCTCCCCAGGACATTTCTGTGGACCTCTGAATGTAGAAAAGACGTCTGCTATCTCCTCTTCCCAGCGTCTCACTGGTAGCTTCCTGAGTAGATTTGAAAGCACTTTTGAGGGGTGGTCAACAGGAAAGAGAATATGAATGCTGTAGGCTAATGATTCGTTAGCTGTGTTCTCCTCTCAGTAACCTTAGCTTGAGCCTGCTTCTGTTGGATCCACAGGGTTATTTTTCTTCATCAGTTGTGACTTTTTCCCTAGAGAAGATACTGTCCTATTCTGCCAGTTCTTCTCTCTTTCTACTCTGGCCAATGTTCTGAGACCCCTCTCCTGGGGCCATCCTGTCTCTCCAGGGAGCAACAGGCAGCTGCACCAGGGTATTTGGCTGCTTGCCACTTAGATAGAGCATTTAGTCACCAGGATCCTCCAGCTCACAAAACCACAGGTTTAATTGGTTGCACAGAGTGGGTGTCTAGTGGTTTCACCGGAGATGAAATCAGACAAAATGTGGGAGCCCAGATCTTCATAAAATCTCCCATCTGCATTTCTTCTGGATTGGGCATGACTGAACTGTGGTTGAGAAAGAATGCAGGGCACTGTAGGGAAACCCTGAATATTCTACCAGCAATGGAGGGACCCACAGCTTAGCCGGTTGTACCAGTACCCCATAAATAGAGATGAAAGGATCTTCCCTTTTGTGATATCCATGCCCAGAAGGCAGGACAGCTCAGGGTGGAGACTCCAGGCTCCTGGCATTACTATGAGTGGAAGTGGGACCCTGTCTGTGCCAAAGAGGAACCTCTCATGAGTCATTCCTCAGGAATGAAATCTTTTGGCTTCTGTGGAAACATCACTTTGATCTTGATTCTCAAGGATTTTTTTCCCAGTTTGGTTGACTTCCCCTCATCTGTTTTACACCCAAGGCTTATCTACCTCCTACTTTGCACCTCTCTGGGTATATTTCGTCTCCCCTCCTGGGGATCAGTTGGCTTTGACCCAAATATGCTTGGACCTTCTTTCCTCCTTCCATCTTCACTTTCCTCCTGGTGTTTTGAGCCATGTCAGAGTTCAGTGTATCTGGCTTTAGATCATCTCCTGCAGAGGTTGTGCATGTGATACTCCTTCCCTCAGAAGGCTCTGTCTCTGCAGAAGTGCAGTCTGAAGCCCAGGGCTGATTCATATCATTACACAGGAGCTATGCTCCCAGGCAGAGCCTTTCCATGCCTCTTCCTCTTCCCTTCCCCTGCCAATAATGCCCCTGAGTGGCAGGAAGGAGTAGAGTCTGGAAACCCTTAAAGCCTCAAAAGGATCCTTGACTGGGTGGGGTAAGGTCAGGTCAGGCCCTTCTTGGTATGCCCAGCACCCAGTGCGGGACCATGCATATGGCAGGTTATTAATATTTCCAGAATACATTCATTTAGGCTTTTGCCTCCTGCTAGACCTTTGCAAGAAGATTCTTGGCAAGGCAAGGCTGGACGGAGTGAGACAGTCTCTCCCACCCCCAGGAAGCTTCCCTCAGAAGGGCAGAGGTGGCTGATGGAATCTTGGCCTCTGCACCTCTTAGCAGGGTTGACTTGGAGCAAAGATCTTTAACTTCTTTAACTTAACTTCCTTATTTGTCAAATAAGGATTATAGTATTTTTCTACATCCTTTACAGGGTTCTTGCAAAGAAAGTGTTTTGTAGAATATAAGCTCCTGGAGGGTCGTTTTTGTCTTTGTCTTCCCAGCACTTAGAAGAATCCCTTGCAAGAAGTTAGGCACTTAGTAAATGTTGGTTGAATTGAGATGAGTTTGTCGTAAACCTTAAGGCACCATCTCAGTGTCCGTGGGTAACCTCGAGCCTTCCTGCCTGCTCAACTCGCCTGCCCTACCAACAAGATGAAACCCCAAAAGGAAAGAAATACCGAACTGTAGGAGCAATGGGGGTCTTCTGACAGCTGGGCCCAGTCTCAGTCTTCCTGTTCTGAACTTGGTACCCTAAGCTTTACCCCCTTGACTCCAGGACTTTCCAAGAGATGGAGTAGAATAACTCAATGCTGGTTCCCTCTCTCCGTACTCCCCTGCCTTGAACTCTTCTGTACTAGAATCCAGGAACCCCACTCAAGACTTTTGGCTCTCCCTGTACTGAGCTTCTGAGCCCTTGGGGAAGGGGGGACCAATCAGAGAAGAGACCCAGTGCCTGTCGGGAGACTGGACAAGGCAGTGGCTGTTTGGGGAGGCCACTGTTCACTGTTGTGTGTTAAAGAGCTAATAGCCGCTGTCTGGATCGTCCTCCACCTCTCAAGTGCCTGTAAAATCATTGTCTCCCTCACTGCATCCCAAGAAACCATCTCCAGTCACTGTAAAAGATTGTTTCAGTCCACTCCTTTTTGAGAAGCCTGACACCAAGGAGATAATTGCTCTTTGGAAAAGATCCCAGGAGAGAAAATGATTCTGTTCCTTTTATCAGGCCTTTCTCTATGGATCTGGTGCCCACAAGATAGCTCTGTCCATCTAGCAGGGGCCTCTGAGGAGTATTTGAACAGCTCATTAGTAAGAAGCCTCCATTAATGTGGGAGAACTGAGGCAGAAAATGTGAAAGGCAGTAGGTCCTTATAGGCTTCCCTTCCCACAGATTGCTCTCCCAAAGGGCTTAAGACAGTATGCTTTGGGGGGTCTCTTCCCCCTCCCCCCAAGACCACAAACCACAGGCCCCATTGCCCCAGCTGGCCCTGGGTAGGAATGTCCAGATTGCCTTCCTCAGTAGCCTGGAATTGGTGGTCTGCTCCAAATAACATGGGCAGAACTGTCAGAACAGTTCACTTCCATGCCTAGCTTGGCTTGGACAACATGGGAGTTGTCTAGGCCAAGTTAACAGCTGGGAATGGGAGGCATGGGGTTTGAGAGAGAGATACCAGAGCAATCCCATTAGGAAGCAAAAATTCCATCTCATGGGTGATCAGCTGCAAGCCTCTCTGAATTTACAACCTGGAACAACTCTGGCCTCTTTTAAAAGACAGCTGAGACTATAGAGGAATAAAGTACGAGGGGAGGGACGCAGGCTAAGGCCAAAGTGAGACCAATTTGGGATACTTGGCTTTGAAAGGAGATTAATAATATGATAGCCAAACAGGGCTACAGAGAGGAGGGAGGAGCTGTATGCTTGGCAGATGGGAGGAGTTTTCAGACCTGAGAAGGAATCAATATGTGTTGGCTCAATCCCATAAATGCCCTCAAGGCAAGTTTACTCCTATTTGCATTTCCCCGAAGTGTTCAACGATAGGGATAGCATGGAGCAGACACTGAGCTCAGCATGGCTTATTGAATGTGTGAAATGGCATGAGACCTTCAAAACTTCCAGGAAAGGTTTAGAAGAAAGAAAAAATATACCCCCTCTCTTCCATCCCACCCACAGCCCCATACTGCTGGGTGGACAGAATGGTATGGTGGAAACATCCTGGACCTGAAATCAGGAGACCTAGGTTGAACTTTCTGAGACTTTTTCCTCCTGTGTGAAAAAGGTATGATAATACACCTCCTAGGATTTTTGTGAGAAAAATGCGATGTAAAATTGAACTGTTTTTTGTTATTAACAAAGCAAGGGAATATGGTTCAATGGAGAACCATTGAGTCAGAGGGCCTGGTTTCAAATCCCAGTTCTGTCACTTAATACCTCAGTGACCTTGGATAAATCACTTAACCTCACTTGGCCTGCTTCTTGATCTGTGAAATGAGTGAGGTAGGTAGGATGACTTCTAAAGACCCTCTTAGCTCTAAATCTATAATTCCATTATCTTGTGATAGTAATTATTATAGGATATTATAGGATCAATTTAAAATCCCATACAAAGTATATGAAACCAAAGGGAGTATAAAAAAAGGAGGTCAGGGAATGGAACTAATCCTGAAACAGAGAAACTTAGATTTAGGGCTGGACAATGATCTGATACGTTTTCCTTATTTTCCAGAAGAGGAAGCTGAGGCCCGGAGAGGGGAAGTGATTTGTCCAAGGTCACATTGATAATAAGGAGCAAAACTGGGTTTCCAACCCTGGTTCTCTACCCCCAGGTCAACATTTCTACTATACCATACTTAGAGTGGGCCAGACAAAAAGCCACCCCAGCAGCCTTCTGCAAGGCAGCATATGATATAGTGTAAAGAATGCCAGGCTTGGAATCAGTAGATGGGTTCAAATCCAGGCTTGGAAACATGCTCATTATATGGCCTCAAGCAAGTCTTTAAATTCAGTGACTGGCAGATAGTAGGCACTTAATAAATGTTTGTTGATTGACTGGATGTTGTGAAGAAAACACTTCATAAATTTTAAAAGCCACATAGCTAATAATAGCCAGCATTTGTATAAAACACTCTAAGGTTTCTAAAACACAAGAATTATATCACAACAACCCTGGGAGGGAGGTGCCATTATTATTCCCATTTTACAAATGAGGAAACTGAGGCTGAAAGAGGTTAAGTGACTTGCCCAGTCAAGTCAGGTCACTGATAAGCTAGTCCATGACTAGTTAGTAGTCAACTAGTAAATATCTGAGGCTGGATTTTAACTCAGGTCTTCCTGCTTCTAGGCCTAGTTCTCTATCCACTGCTCTACCTAACTAAATGCATGACTGTTAGAGTTTGAAGCCGCTCCCTGCCCAGAGGCCTTGGGAGTAAACTAGGAAGATTTTAAATATAAATTAAGAAAATCCAATGTGAAGATGTCAAGCTCCTACAGCTACCTTCATCCCTTTGTTATTTCTGGCCACAGACTTTCCAGCCTGAGAATCAAGGCTTGAAGGAGATTCCTTTAAGTCTCAATCCACTAATACATGTCTCTGAGGTGGTTGGTTACCTCCATTGTGGTAAGGTGTGTCCACCCACTCTGAGATACCTCTGTCTCTGAAGTACTTCACCATAGCACCTCAGGACTCCCATCTCCCTCCCTGAGATTTGAGGGACCAGAGATTGAAATGAAGGATTGCTGCAGAGCCAACACTGTGCATCAAGTTGGGCCTGTTTTGCTCCAGCGTGTAGTCACTGGCCAAGCAGCTCCAGGGGGCACTGGGAGGGCATGGTTTTCCTCCCTTCTGCATTTTCCCTGGAAATTTTGTCTGTTATTCTTAGGGCAGCTGACATGGGGTCATCCTTCAGCAGGGAAATGAAATCCTGGAAAACTGGGACCCCAGAGCTGCCTCCTGTTATATATATAAATGGAATGGAAAATTATTTCAAATATAAAGTGTGCTGCCCTCTGAGAATGTTCTCACAGAACGACTCCTGGGATTTTTTTGACTCTTTGTAGGGGGAGCTCTCTCATTGGTGAAGGCTTCCCAGCCAATGAGTGTTCCATGT